GCCCTTTGTTGCGTCTCTTCCCGTTCTCTCTCTCTCAGCCGCTCTTCCTGTTCAGCTGCTGTTGAGTAGAAACCACTTGTGCCATAAAATCCTCTTATATATAGTCACATCTCTCAAAAACAAGTTGAAAATGTTTTCTTTCTGGAAACTCTTAAGTTTGTAACTATTTTCTCATCAGACCAACATCTGTTACCATGCAAAGTTTGATGGCTTGATTGGTTGACACGGCCATTGTTCAGCTGAGAAAACACTGAAATTACAGACATGCAGTCTCCACTTTTATACAGGTATATTCCACAGATATAATCATTTAACCTTTGAATTATTTCAAACTCCAAAAATCTGTACATGAGCCCCCGTCTGACTAGTTTTTAGCCTCTCACCAGCCTCAAGATTCAGATTCAGAGGTGAAGATATTGTCCAAGTCAGGCAGGTGATTATTTCCTGCGCGGTTTTGATCGCTCTCTGCAGGGCCTTTCTGTTGGCTGCAGAGCTTCTGCTGAACCACATCAGGTTGATCAGAACTCTGTCAGTGGATCAGTGGTTGGAGGACGTTATGGCTGGTTGATCTCACTGAGAGCGTTCAGGAAGTGTAGCTGTTGTTGTGCCTTCCAGGGAATTTCTCTGAAGTTGTGCTGTGACACCCTCTCTGTGTCTCATTCCAGTTATTGGTGAGCCACCTTGTTCTTCCCTGAGTCATTGATGATTTCCTTTGTTTTCTCAGTGTTTAAAGTAACATTTTTATCTGTACAACCAGTCAGCCAACCTCTGCATCTCCGCTCTGCACTCTGACTCATCTCCGCAGGCTGACCACAGTTGCGTTATTTGTTGACTTAATGACGCTGGTGGTATCGTGGGTGGACATGCATCCCTGCGTCTAGAGGGAGTAGAAAAACAGAGACTCAGGACGCAGCCTTGTGGGGCTCCTGTGCTGAGAAACAGTGAGCAGCACTGGTGGGGTCTTGACAGACTGCATTCGGTTTGTTGGAAAGCCCTGCATCCGAAGGCAGATATTGTGCTGGAGGCCGAGGTCAGACATCTTGTGAAATCTCGTGAAGCAACCTGCTTGGCAGAATAGTGTTAATTTTAAAGCTGTAATCCATAAATTACAGCTTTAATTTATGCACATGCATATGTCCCTGGTTGTTCCAGGCATAACGGAACAGTGTGGAGGGTGGTGAGACGGCATCCTCTGTTGATCTGTGGGTGAGGGTCCAGTGTGGGTGGGAGTGCAGCCTTGATGTGTTTCAGCACTAGTTTCTCCAGCCACTTCATGATCACAATTGGTAATGCCTGGAGTCATTGCGGCGCTTTACAGCAGTTTGTTTGGGAACACAGCTCTGTCATAGAGGCATTTTAAAGATGTCTGTCTCCATCTGGAACAGGTGATCTAAAGATTTTATTTTATTTTTTACATTTTTTAAAAACTCTTCACATTTGACATCTGTCTACTACAGACAGGCTTACTAATTTGATAAAATCTGAACTTTCCCTTTAAGTCTGTAAACAGTTAAATTAGCAAAGGTGTATTTTTAGGGTTGTCTCTTGTGTAAACTCTTTCACACACAGGTACACATCTGGACATGTGGGCAGTGAAGGGTGCAGCTTTGTTGTTGCTATGGAAGAAAGTTGGGAATCGCTAAATAAATGAAATAAGTTAAAATATGATATAAAATATGACAAAACTCTGAAAAAAAAGCACAAATAAATATATGCCCACAATTTTTTTTCTGCCTTTTTTTTCATGCTTGCAGGACGATCCAAAAAAAATTTCCCATTGCATTTCTTGGTTAATTAGGCTGCTTGGCAGCAGGGCAGTGACAGGACTGGGCTTTGAAAGTGCATCCAGTGGGAGTTTAGGAAGTAAATATAGTGAGGGGATGATTAATCTGTGAATGACTGTGTGTGGTCAAATACTTCTGTGGTAAAGGAGTAACAACTCCTGGTGTTAAGCTGCAAATAATTTGGGGAATTTATTGTCAACGTAAGCTGGACTCCATTCTGTGTTGTAAAACAGCGAGAAGAGGGTCTTGAGCCATTACCACATAAAAGTTAAACAAAATTAAACAAAAAAACAACTTCAGTACTTTGCAAAAGTACCCGCACCTTTTAATCGTCCACATTTTGTCACGCTACAGCTACAAATTCTGATGTTTTGTTAGGATTTTATGTAATAGATCAATGCAAAGTGATGGCAAGTTAATGGTACATGCATTTTACTTTTTGTTTTTATATGTAAAAGTCTAAAAAGTGTGGCATGCATTTGTATTCAGTCCCACAATAGTTTACAGAACCATTCTTTATTGCATTTATTGCATTAAACTGGGTATTTCTCAGTTTAATGCACAACTTTCTCCCTGACCTGTCTGTTGTGTTTCTGGGGTTTTCTTAATGATGCTGTTTGCTCTCTAATGCTGCCCAACAAACCTCTGAGGCCTTCACACAACAGCTGGATTTATACTGAGATTAAATAACACACACGTGGACTCAATCTTTTTAAGCCAATTTGTGCACTACATTTTATTTAGTGATATTAAAGTGTTTTCAGATATTTATTTGGGAACAAAAGTTTGAAAACGTGTTTCCACTTCACAATTATGTGCTGCTTTGTTTTGGTCCGTCTCATTAACTCCTCTTAAATTACGCCCAGGTTGGTGGTCGTAACATGGCAAATGTGGAGACGCCAGAAGGGTATGAATACTTTCGCAGAGCACCGTACAGTGGAGTAACTGAGACAGTTTCATTTTCAGAAGCTGACAATGTAGTGGCTCACTGATCTGTGCTTTATATTAACATTGAACACCCTCCAGAATAAGGAGCTGGAAACCAGCATTGACTGTAACACACCACAGGTCAATACAGCAGAAACCTGCATTGGTGTAGGACCGCAGCTCAAGTTAAAATAATTTTCTAAAAAATAAAAAAAGTATGAACAAGATTACGACTCACTGCCTCTCTCATTAAGACTTGAAAAATCTTTTTTTTTTTTTTTTAATAGAAAGTCATGAATGCTGTGTTCTTGAGCATAAAAAGGAGAGGGATAATCCAGCCTGCCATCAGAGCAGAATTTAAAATTTGTGATTGCTGGGAATTTATTAACATTTGTGCAAGCTCTTGGCCAGCATTTATTTCTTTGCGAAGTTTTTCGCCGCCCTTAAAAACCACAAACCACAGTGTATTTTAGATTTCACAATTTGGCTCATAATTGTGACAGGGAAGAAAACGATATTTACTTTTCAAAGTTTTCAGAATAAAGTGTCGTCATCAACCCTCTTTCTTCCACAGCACTATAAGCAACGCTTCCATTAGTTATGATTAGTTACCCATTTAAAAACAGTAGTGTATACATTAAAAAACCTTTCCCTTGTTGGGAAAATTTAATCCATTATGAATAGATAAAAAATGGCAAAAGAATCTCTGTCGTTCTATTATGCTGATATCCAATCAGTTTGAAATGGTAAACATTTCATCTTTAAAACTACAGCACTTAGATTTATTAGTTTCCAAGCATGTGCATTGTGCAACACAGGGGCAAAACATGCTACTGTACTGAACTGTGGTTTTTATACGAGGAGATAGCTTTTAAAAAATATATATAATTTCCTATTTATGTTTTCTCTGCATTTCTTTGTTCGTTGTCTCTTATATTCAAATTATTAAAAATATCATTTAAGAATATTAGTATGTGTTTGTTTTACTTGCAGCAGTTGGAAAAGTAGAGCAATATAATTGAGCGACTTTTAGAGGAAATTAAATGAAAAAAACAAAACAATACAAAATGAAACATGCAAAACAACACTTGCTAATTAAACATACGTGGATCATCATTTGCATAGTAACTTTAAAATAAAATGATGAAATACAGTAATGAAATTAACATGCATGGAACAACTTGCTTAGCAACTAAGAATTAAACTAAATAATAGTTAAAAATAGCAGTGTGAGACATGTAAATAAAGATCTGTACAACAGGGTTTGCTAACCAAATTTATAAATGAAATAAGGTATTAGAATAAATTGAAATTATAACAGATTGACATATTTCAACAACTTTCACAGAAGATGAAATATACTTTTAAAATATACGAAAGAAAAACAACACTTTCAATTTTAAGAATAAAATTACTTAAAACAATAAACGCCTGCTCGAAAATGTTATGAGTAAAATTTAAAGTGGAGTAAAATTGTAAAATATGATATGTATAAACTCCAAAATTCTTAAAATAGCATTAATATATACCCTCCAGGATAGTTTAGCTTTTTTTCCCTTTATATATCCTTTTAAAAAATTTCAATTATTTCCCCGCAGGGCAGGTGGGTGGATGTGTAAAATAACAAAAGGACATGAGGACGAATGATGAAAACGCAGCTTTCTCCCACCACAGGATGCAGGTTTGGTGGCATGAAATGATTAATTTCACACATATACAGGTCATCTCCGAAAGCAGCAACATCTCATTCACAAGGGGCCCTCCGTCAGCAACAAAGCAGGAGGCTGCAATAAAATACGCAAACAGCAGCACGTACTGCACGTCAATAAATCTTTGGAGGTTAAACCTGAGCTCTGTAGAATCCGAGCAGCCCAGTCAGGTAAAAGTCACCGAGTACATCAACACGATCGGGACCAGAAAAAAAAACACAAAAAAAAACAGCAGTTCAGCGAGCACAGCCTCACACACAGTCTGTGTTTGTAGAAGAAGGTTGAAGCCTTAAATTATTGGGTTTGTGTAAATAAGGAGATGAGACTGTTTTTAGCGCACCGGGTGGAAGGAGGAGTGCTTGGATGAGAATAGTCTCTCTGTGTGCAGCAGGATTGCTTTTGGGTTGTTTACGACAGCTCGCAGCTCTCATATATCACAGGCAGTATGTTTGCTGTGAAGCTACAGTTTGCGTGCCATCTGCCTTAGCTGAACTTGACCCTCCAAACAGACTTGTATTTGTAAACTGAGCTCTTCTCTTTACTGTTTTTTCTCTCATTTTTTTTTTTTTTTCTTTTCTAGTGGATGCTCCAGAAACCGCATAAGGTGGCTACCTTCTTTGGGTGCATCGGGAAGGACGACTTCGGCAAGATCCTGAAGAAGAAGGCAGAGGAAGCTCATGTCGATGCCCATTACTATGAGCAGACCGAGGAGCCGACTGGAACCTGTGCAGCTTGCATCACCGGAGATAATAGGTTAGCCTCCTGTTTGGGACCTTTGACCTGGAAACCGCACTTTATCTGCGATTTGACAGAGCCTCTTCTTCCTCAGGTCTTAGCTCCCCACATCAGAGGGGTAAAAATGAACAGCTTGAGCTTGTTTTTCTTGGGCCCCACTCAGTCTCTGCCACCCCAGTGGGTTGTCATCCATCTACAGCCTGACAGTAGCAACGTGTTAGAGATTCCTGGGCTACCCCAGCTCTCACCTGTCAGCCTGCAAAAAGGGGCTTTAGCGTCTCTGGCGACTCTGCCACTTGCATCATCATCAGCAGCACATCTGAGACAGCAGAGGTCAAACTTTCATGCTCATGCACACAAATATCACTAACATTAAGGGCTGCAGTTCATGATAGGCCTGGCAGCGATCAATAACCCTCATCTCTAAACACTCTTCCCCCTCGGCAGCCCTTCATCCTGACGGATACCACACTTGTCAGTCAGTCAGCAGCCGGGTTCTGCCCATCCCGGGAGCCAGCTCTGGCGAATGGTCTTAGTGGGCTTGTTTGATGTGGGCTCTGACACCTGAAAAGGTCAGGTGCCGTGCTCGAGGAGGCGAACTCTGTAATATTTCTTACAGGTGTTTAACAGAGAGCTCAGGAACCCAGAAGAAAGGTCGACCACTGGGCCAGATTGAAAAAAGTGATGGCTTTGAAGGACTGGGAGCTCACATGTCACAACCTCTCAAGATTTGATTAGTGAAAGGCTTCAAACTAAGAAAAAAAAAAAATCTGCCTCATTCCGGTCTTTCTCAGATTTGAGAATTGAACTTCCAGTCTGTGAATATGTTGCATGAAGAACAGTCCAATTTTAGACATTAAGAAGCAAATTTATTAGATTTATAGATGTGCAATCAGAGGTTTAATCAGCAAGTCAAAGATCTCCGATCTACTACAGAGTATAAAAAAAAATGGTTTATCTAATAATCTTAGTATCTCTAACAAATTTAATTAATCATAGTACACAAGGATGGAGTGATTACAAATCCCTGATTGATGGCTAATGTTTGACTGACAATAACCAGCTTTCAAAATTAAGTTATCTCTTCCATACTTACAATTCATTATGTTGAGTGATGCACAATTTTTCACCTACAGTTTTAAGTGGTAAAATATAGCGAATAACATTTACTTAATTAGCATTAGGTATAATTGGCAAGGAACATAATTGTATAACAGTCATAATGGGTACCTTTTTAGTGAAGCAATTTTGCTGTTTCTTCCTGTTTAGTATCAATACATGTATTTAATCTGATTAAATCAGCTCCTATTAGCACATTTTTGGTGAATATGGTTTGGAAATGAAAATTTTACAGCTTAAAACCAAAAACAATGGGCAGATTAATTTGAAGTTTTGTGCATGTTCAAGATGCCTATTTCATGACCTCTATATTTTTGAAAACTTAAAGGCTTTAAAGCAACATAACCATCCTCGATATTAAAAGAAAAACGCAGAAATAAGTTGGCTCGAAATCTCTCAATGAATCAAACAGGAAATGCTTTTATTTCGAAAAACTTTTTTGCAATTTTTGTATCGATGTTGCAATCTTCATGCATCTCCTTTACTGGGCGGGAGGTAAACAGGTTTTCAAAGGCTTAGTTCATTTTACAGAGTGCAATGTGAAAGCAAACTGCACCAGCTGAAAATGTTACAAATGTTACAATTTTGGTCTCCAATCGAAACAAGCCTATTGCACTCTCATATTTGAAGGCGCCTTGTGTCATTATGATGCTACAGCAAACATAAATGGCTTGTAACAAACTATTTATAACCCAGAGTCTGTAAATGCCCCTGGCTGATAAATCAAACACGCCCTTTACCGGAGAATGTGTGTGTCACTTTTAAAGCTGCAGCCTGTGGTTTCCTTACTGTTAATACTTGATGGATGGTAGCATTAAACAAAAAAGACAAACTCCTTTCACTGGCACTTACGATAAACTGTACGAGAAACATCAGAGAAAAGCCATACTGTGCACAATGTTCCCATGACGACCAGTGAGTTGTCAACATTAAGGTAACTGAGAGGGAATAGCTGCTTATGCTCAACTCTGACTGCACGACATGAAGATTGTTTACAAAACTTGAGTCTCAGGGCTACAATCCGAGTGGAGTCTTGAGTTTTCAGAGTTCATGACTATTTATTTTATTTCATTTTATTTACTTAAATGTGACTTGGGTTTCCATCCAGCTACAGTTTTTAACAAACCCACATTTTGCTCTTACTCTCGGTGTTTCAACACGGAGCAGTTTTGCTGAAGTGTTAGGCTAAGATTATTTATAAACAGTTTTTATATAGCTTCTTAATGATTTAAGTTTGGCGCATATTTCTGTGTGAACACAAGTTGAAAATGTTGCTCCCAAGCGTGGTAAACATTTAGGATTAGTGTTTCGGGTTCTGCCCCCCACACACCCACACAGATGTTTGAGCACAGATGACAGAAAAAGTGGGATATGCAGCAGCCAATTCAGTCTCTCTTTCAATGTGGATGCCATTGTAGAATGTAGCAAACTCTTAAATTGTTAGGGGAAACCCAGCTCTGTTTGCTCAACAAAATAGTATCCACGTCCTTCAATAGTTTTGCAAGCTTGGCTGTAAAAATCACAGTTGCAGTTAAGTTGCCCCAGTAATGACGCTCATTTCGCCTGTCTTGTGTGGCCCCCGACCTTCTAGTCCATTACCGCAGCCCGGGTCAAACACAGTCCCGCTGTCGCATCGCAGCCTTCGTCATCGCACTCTGATCAACTTACGACGCCGCTACTCCTCTCTGTGACACTAACCGCGGCGAGCAGCTTCTTCGTGCCATGTGAGAGCGGACCCCCTTCCTGTAGCGGCGCGCTCCTGTCATATGGTCGCCAAACAGTTTTCCCCTAAGTAGCTGTGATGGCTGCTCTCGTTTTGATGGTCGCTCATAAAGGAGAAGAACACGAGGACGGGCTAATGAGCTATGTTAAGATAAGGCCACCTGCTTCACTTCCCATCTCCCACTACTCAGCTAAAGTGCTCATTTAGTAATGCGTTTTTGTTGTTTCTCCACCTTCGTTAAGTGCGAGCCATTTCTCCTGATGATGTGAGAGAATGAATTATTTGGAGGTGGCCTATTGTTCCTACTTTAATGTCTGATGACTTAAAATAGCCTGCTTTTGGAAAAAAAAAAAAAAAAAGCCCTGGCAAAATAGAAACATCTACATGACTTTATTTCACCTTGGTTCAAACCCTCTGGGAAGCTATTATCATTCTTTTTATGTGGTGAAAGAACAAAGAAAAGTCTGTAGCCTTTCTGGGGTTTTTTTGTTTGTTTTTTTTTTAAGGATGTTTTTGAGACAAAATTAAGATGGATGATAAGCGAGGCAGAAGATTTATGGGGTCTGTCTCGGCAGGTCCCTTGTTGCTAACCTGGCAGCGGCAAACTGCTACAAAAAGGAAAAACACCTGGACTTGGACAGCAACTGGGAGCTGGTGGAGAAAGCCAAGGTCTATTATATTGCGGTAAGTGAGACCCCTCTATATTCAGAGTGACTGTTCCCCAACTCTGTTAGCCAGAGGAGGACAAAATGTTAAGAGGCTTTATTCAGGAAATGCCTCAGCACGCCCTCGGCATTGTCAATATATCCATTCATCCTTTGTTGGGGAAAATGAGCTATGTTACCTATTGAGACAATACAGCTCCATTTTCCCTTCCCCCGTCTTTGTGCACAAAGCTGCAGCGCAGTGTCAAATTGTTCTACATGAAATGTATTCATTCATTTCTTTTAACATGAAGACAAGCCAACAGGTGCTGCCAAAGTGTGAAAATTGATTATGCAAGTTCATTGGGCTTTACCCCCCCTTCGCCCCCACCGCCTACACAATCTTCCACTCAGACACACACATACACACACATACACACAGACAGATTGAGGGGGACAGATGTATGCTGCTACTGAGGTAATGTCTTCACTTGGAGCTTGTGGAGCAAGATGCCCCGTCGTGCTCATGTTTCACTGTTTGGGATTATATTTAATTCCCGCAGATCAACATTTTTCTCTCATCTCAGGTCAAGACGATAACCCTGAAATCGCACCGCATTCCAGGCCTTTAAGCACTTCATTATTGGCATGAATCAGCGTTACAGCCAGTGGTGGTTTGCGTTATGGCGGGATATGGCTCACTGCCCAGGGAGCCCTCCCATCAGCGGGCGACACAAGCAAACAAAATGTCTGCCATTTGCACTCCAGATGTGTGTTGTGTAAAACAGTCATGTGACATGAGCATTGGTGTCTGACTAGACCGGTGCAAATTCAAAGGGGACGTGTCACTTTCTTTTTAAGGAATCTGGAAAATGTCAGTTCAAAATCAGTCATTCAAACTTTGAAAGAATGAGAGAGAGCAAGACTGTGAAAGATAACAGATACAGTTTGATCCGATTTATCTTTTCGAACATACTTCATTGGGAAATGTTGGCATCATTATAGAAAATCTCGATTTTTAGGAAATAAACAGGCTGTTGTAATAGCAACTACAGTAACCCACTGAATCGGTAATGGAAGATACTGAAGACATTTTAAAATATTAACTCCATATTTGCCTCTAAAAGGCTAGGAAGTAAAAATATTTTAAATTCTGTTTTTAAATTAAGTTACAAAAAATATCTAAACATACATTGCATGATGCACCAGTCACCAGTGATTACAGCCAAGCCATTAACACAATCCTTGGTATAAAGGAAATTAGCTGGCCCTCCACACACGGCACATTGCAAACTCTGCTATAGAAGCTGTTATGATCCCATAATTTAGTGTTCAGTGAAACAAAAGCCAAGAAAATGGAGATAAAATAAATCGTCGCTTATGCTCGGCCCGTCCATCCACCCGAGTTTGTGTGGTCTCATCTTTTTAGCCTCTGCTTCACATTAGCAAACATGGCACATCCTCTGCAAATTGGCAGTTGGGTTTTGCCCACATCCGACAGTCTTGTGCACAGGGAAAAGCTTCCGTGGGATTTTAAGGGGTGGGGTGCGGGAGGCAGGGAGTGGGGTGAGGGGGGAGGGGGAGGATCGACGGGCCACAAATGGGTGTTTGTCGGTGCTTGGAATCTAAAATGCGGTTTGTAGCGTCCCTCTTGGGCCTCTTTGTCAAAACAGGGAGGGGGGGGGGGATCATTCGCTTTATTAGAGTCCCATTGGCACTTGTAAAGTACTTATCTAGACACACTGCCACAGCTATTCCCACTTAATACTGTGTGGCGTGTCTAGACTAGCATACACTGAGGCCTTCTCTCTCCATTAACCTTGTCGAGAGCACTTAGATGTATTTACCTAATTTACAGCTGGATTGTAAATTTTTCCCTCTCTCTGCGCTAACCTTTTCACTGTATTAATGTGTCTTGTTGATTTTCGTTCGTATTAAACTGCTGCCGGGTGGTTTTTGCGGCCATGTACGCTTTGATCCGTAAATTTAATTTCCCCCCCCCCCCACCCACCAAAAAAAAAAAAAAAAAAAAAAAGGCACACACGTATTTGTGTGTGTGTGCGTGCGTTACCACGTTTATTTGCTTGCACATGTGTCTGCGTCTGTCGGGGCATGCGTGTTAAGAAGGTGATTGATGATTCCTGGCAGAGGCTCTCTCAAGGTGCCTGCTACGATGTGGTGTGATTGGATGAAAACAGAATTATTAGAGGGCTCTCTCTCTTGCAGCCAGACTGGCTCATCATCCAGCAGCAGCTTCAGCAGCAGCAGCAGCAGCAGGGCTGGTGGCAGACGCAGAGCAGGGAGGCAGCACTGCCATTTCTCACAAAGAGACACACAGAGAGAAAGAGAGCGAGCGAGAGAGAGGAAGAGAGGGAGAGAGAATGTTGAACTCCTGCCAAATGTTTTTGTGGCAGGCTGTTGCTAGGAAATCTGGGTCCTTAGGCAAATCATTGCACAAAGACCAATAACAAAGGCGAGTAGAAGGAATGGCTAAACGCATTTCAGGCAAACCTTTTTGTTTTGTTTTGGGGTTGTTGTTTTTTTCTTTGAATGCCATCGCCCTTTGCAGTGATGTGTACAGTTATTTCCTACCCTGACGACTGTAAGCATCAGAAATCGTAAAAAAAAGGGAAGATGAGTGACTCTAATTGGTCTAGGTGATTTGTGCATGCTGCCCCAGTTAGTCTCTATTCTCCTCCCCTCGTTGGCCTTCTGTGGACACCTTCCTCACCCCCTCCCCCTCCTCCTCCTTCTCCTCTCCCTTTGCGCCCTCTTCCTCTCCTCCTCTAGTCTCCCAGACACACACATACATTTTGCTGTTAAACACTCCCCAGCATGCACGCACACATTCTGCAGCATACCACTGGCTCGTTTTTCTTACTACTGAGCGCATTGCCCTGTAATTTGATCTCCACCGCTTGATGCATCCTCCACCATGCCACTTTGAATTAACCTATGTCTGCACCAGCTCTCCTTGGCCCCCTGCTAATAAAATGGCCTCTTCTAACTTACTCCGATTACTTTCAAAAAAAAAAAAAAAAAAAAGGGGGTGGTGGGGGGAAAAGAGGCCCTCTGTCTCATGGCCGTGTACAATGTAACTAACAGAAAGAGAGCAGAGAAACAAGACAATTGACTGTGAAAAGGCCTGTTAATGACTGGGCACAGATGGCCAGAAAATAACCCAAGGATAGACGCAGGAGACGCTCGCCCCTGCCAACTGGCCTGGTACACCAAATTCAACCAATGAGGCACAAGCTGCAGAGCTGTTAGGTCACAGATCCGATCACAGCTGCTCCTTTCCAATCTATCCTACGAGCTCAGTCCTCGTTAGCCACGCCTAAAAATATTTTAAAAAATTAAAAATTTTGCATAATGAGGCCTTGTGGCACAAGATATCACAATATTAAAATGCCAAAAGATTCCTCGTCTGGATCATGAAGCTCTATCCAGTTGCAATCAGCGTGGCCATTGACGCAGCCCAGGATGTGAAGTCGAGCATATTAAGCTCGACATCCTGTTTGTGACTCCTCTGTTGAAGAACACAAGGAAGTAGATTCTGAACTCTGGATACTACTTCCTGCACAGCGTCCAGACCGTTCTAGTGGCTCCTTTTCAAGAAAGCGACGAGCAGTGACGTAATTGTCTTTTTTTTTTTTTTGTGGCGTTAATGGACACCTTCCCTCACCCAAAGCGCTCAAAGGTGGTTTCCTTTGTGGGCGGCAGACAGTACTCAGCTGCTCCAAATCTTCTAAATTGTCATGTTACGAGCACAAATGCAATTGTACGCGATTTTACTGAGATTTTGTGATACACCAACAAGAATCGTCACGCGGAACGAAAGCAATGACGTGGTTTAAAAATGTATCACAAATAAACATATGAAAGTGTGGCATTGAGTTGTTTTTACCCTCCAATTACACGTTACATTATAACCCGCGGAACAAGACATTTCTCCCATACTAATATGGGTAAATATTTTTGGAAGATTGTTTCACTTATAACTAATACTTGATCATCCATTATTAAGGAATTATTGACTTTAAACAAGCTGCCATGTCTTGTTGAAAAGATACTGTCAGAAAGTTTTGTCTTCTTTCAGGCATACTAAGATATTTGCATCAGAAAGTAGACCAAAAATATTTGGAAAGATTTGGGGGTTTTGCAGTGCTTTCTCTCCATAAACCTAAAAGACTCAAGTGGTCTTCTAGGTTGCTGTTTTGTTAAGGTCAAATGGCACACAATGTTATTTCTTGGTCAGAATTTGCAATACTTTGCGTAGTAAAATACTAAGTTTATCACCCTGAATAGACTATTTCCACTTTGAAGCATGGTGTTGGCAGCTTAAGGGAAATGCTTTCTTTGTAGAGGGAAAGAAAGCATTGGTCATCAGGATAACTGGTCGGAGTTGATTTGAAGACTGGTGTCGCTAAAAACAGGAAAGAAAATGTGGCTGCAAAAGACCGGAGACTTCCAGCAGCACAATTATGCCAAACATTCTCCAAACCTAAATCCAGTTGAGAGATGCCATCTGTCCAATCAGACTTAACTTTATTTGTTTTACGAAGAGAAATGGACAACAAGTTTTAGTCCGAAATGTGCAGAGCTGGTAGAAGCAGACCCCAAAAGAGTTTAGCCTCATGACCAAATCTCTTGAATTGTCTCATGGGTTGGGTTTATTGCTACAACCCTACTAAAAAAGGAGCTTTTTTTTTATGTTTGTTTTTCAAGGCACCAAAGCTAGTTGAACCAGAATGCCTCACACTGTTAACACTGGTACACTGTATACAGCATTAATTGCTGGTTGTATTCCTGCCCTCACTGCAGGGGAAAGCTGAGTTCAGCTTCAGTCACTGAAGCATAATATGCAAGGGAGGAAAAAAAAAAGAAAAGAAAATGAAGGCAAAGGCAGGAAAGAAAAGCGCAGCCCTGGCACCACGAGCTGCACGTCAGCCTGCTTACACCCCAGAGTGGCACACACACACACACACACACACCCACGCACACACACACACACACACACACACACACAAACACACACAC